CTCATTGGACCCTCACAACAGCCTTGGAAGGTAGGTGCTATTATTATCCCCATTTTACACTTGAGGAAATTGAGGCAGACAGAGGTTATGTGACTTTCCCAGCAGCTAGTAAATCTCTGAGGCTGGATTTGACCTCAGGCCTTCTTGATTCCAAGCTGTGCCTGGGCCACTAAGAGGTTAAATGACCTACCTAGGGTCACACAGCCACTAGTTGTCAGAGGAGCAATTTGAATCCAGGTCTCCCTGGCATTGAAATCAATTCTGTACCCAGTACATCAGGCTGCCCATAAATCTGGTGAATATAGCATCCCTGGAATCCAACCTCTTTAAGCACAGAGACTTTGGTTCACTTGGGATTTTCTATCTCTGTAACAGAGCAGAGTGTCAGGTACATATCCCAAAATGAATGCCATGGATTAGTGGACACTGTCCCCAGATGAAGGCTGAAACCTGATGAGGTTCTCAGAGAGCTGTCTGAGGCTCAGAGACCCTAAGAGACTTGCCCATAGGGACTCAGCTAGGAATAGTCGAAGAGGAGCCTAGAACTCCTTCTCTCTGACTTACACTTAGTAGGTACTTAAGAACTGCTTCTTGACTTGAAATGACTTAATTTGAATTGAATGCTGGAGAAAGGCCTATTCTCTCCAGCAAAGACTAAAAAAAAATTCAACAAAAGCTATGACTTTTGTGGGAGTTTGTGCCTAGAATTGGTCTTTGTATTTGACTGGATAATTTAATTAGTTAGTCAGTAAGCATTTATTAAGTGCGTACTATGTGCCAGGCACCCGAGCTATGTACCAGGGACAAAAAGAAAGACAGAAGATGGTACCTGGCCTCAGGGAACTCACAGTGTAATGGGACAGACAATATGGCAACCACTGGGTGCGAGCAAACTATAGACAAGATAAATCCAAGATAATCAGCAGAGGGAAGACTAGCAACAGAAGGGAATCAACAGAGGCTCCTCATGGGAGACAAGATTTAAATTGTCCCTTGCAGGAAGCCGAGAGAGCTGGGAGGCAGCAACAAGGAGTATGCCAGTATTTCCATGGAGGACTCTCAGTGAAAATGCTGGGAGTCTGGAGATGGAGCTCAGTGTGTGAGGAATGGTGAGGAGGCCTGAGGGTGTGGTGATGGCTGCGGTAAAGGGAGACTACAGAAGCAGGAGAAGACCAGGCTGCCAAGGTCTCTGAAGGCCAGATAGGAATTTATATCTGATCCTAGAGGTTATGGGAGCCAAGAGATGTGCTGGATTGGGGATGGGGCAGTGACTTAGTTAGATCTTCTTTGCTTTACAAGCTAGGCCATGGACTTTAGAGATCATTTCATCCAGCTTCTTCTTGTTATAGATGAACAAGCAGAGTGCCATAGAGATCAAGGGATTTCCTAAGGTTATACGGTTAGCAAACTGTAGACAGAAGTAAGATGATCATAGCTCTAGACCAAACTTTCTCAAACCTTTTAGTCTCAGGACCCCTTTATACTCTTAAAAATTGAGGAACTCCCTGCCTCCTCCTTCAAGAGCATTATTTATGTTAGTTATGTCTATTGATATTTACTATATCAGAAATTAAAACATCCTGGTATTAGTACAAAAATAGTTGTGACCAGGCAGACCCTCTGGAAGGGCCTTGGGGACCCTCAGGGATCCATGGGCAGTAGTTTGAGAACCAGTGCTTTAGAGACAGAAGCAATATCAAATGTCATCTAGTTAAAATATCTCATGAGGAAACTGATGCCTTGTAAAGTAGTAACTTGCTAGGGTCCCATGTGGAATAACATTAGAGCTGGGTTGAAAACCCAAGGCTGTTTTTTTTTTTTATATTCTTTCATGAATCTGGTGTCCGATTCTGTTTGTTACAGGTCCATGCACTTTCAGCAGTAAGGAGGGTCTGCAAAATGTTAAATCTGTTACATTCAAGAAAATGTTGCTTAATTTATTGAGGATTTACGCTGCCTTAATGCCTGGTCAAATCTTTTTTTTTTTTTAATCAGGGTTTGAGTGATGGTGGGGTGTGGTCTGGTAAGGAGGCAGTTCGGATGTCCATCCAAGGTGGCGTGTGGGGTTTTTGTATCTGAAAATCCTAATGTCTTTTGGAAGAAGCTATCATAGTAATTTAAAAAGATAATGAGAGGTGAGGGTGTTTGCTTCATTTTCTTAGGGTTCTGGATTAATGGATTTTCAGTCCAATGAGTTTGTAAAAAGGCCTCCCTGTGTCATTATGTATTTAAAGCGCACGGGTGCCATCTGGTGACGTCTTTATGAATCACACACATTTGCCTTATATGTGTGACCAAAGAATAATATACTGTGTTGTGAACGTTAATGATAAGCATTTCTGTGGGGATTTAGGATTTGCTAAGCACTTTACAAATATCTCACATTATCTTCCCACTAATCCTGTGACATAGATCTATCCCATTTTACCCCATTTTAGAGATGAGGCAACCTTGGCAGTGCCTTGCCCAGGGTCACATAGATGGTAATTGTCTGAGGCTGGGTTTGAACTGTGATAAATGATCAATTGGACCCTATTTTATTGGACCCCTGTTTTACTCCAATCAGTGCTAATCAGTTTGTATGATTCCATAGGGGTGGTAATTCTATTCTGATATTAGGCCTCAGAGCTGTGATCACAGGAAGTTAGAGGACCTCTGCCTTGGTTTTGCCTTGTTACGATGACCAAGCCCAGAATGGCAGAGGTGCCTCAATTACTTGGAAAGCCCCAGCAATTTTCATTGCCCCTCCATCCCTTGTTACCCTTCTGTTGCCCAACACAGGGAGATGACCATGAGCACTTGGCCAATGAGTGACCAGCCCATTGGCCCGTGTAGATGTTTGATATCTCTTTATCATCCCAGCCCCAGGCTCTGCTCATCAGCTTGGTAGAACCTCCTGAAGTCTGTTGAGGTCTGCTCACAAGCCCGTTTGTTAACCAATGGGATTCTGAATTTTGTGCCGACCCTCCTGGAGGGTCAAGGGCAAGGTCTGTCAACGAGATTCTATATTTTCAGTTGCTTCATCTGTATTGTCTGAGTATCAAGCACTATAAAGCTAAGGCCCAGGAGGAAGGGGGCATCTCAGATTGTGAGGAAGATCTGAGGTCTGCTTAATTGGAGGGGGCAGGGACCTTTAATAAAGCACCATTGGATCAGAGCTCCGCCTCAGTGGGTTTTCTTGCAGGTTGGACAATTTTGGAGCACTCAGTCCTGAGTCCAGGTCTAGCATTCTGTCCACTTCACCACCTAGCTTCCCTCCTACAGAAGAGTTCATAGATGCAGAGCTGGGAGGGCTCTCAGTGATCATTCATTCCTAGCTTCGTTGTGTAGGTAAAGAGGAGGCTGAGGCCCAGAGACAGCAAGTGACCTCCCAGAGTCACACAGTATGAGAGGTGGCCGGGACCTTCTCAACTGTCCACAGGGCATACAGGCACTGCTCCCAGACGGTCAGTGAGGTGCAGCCCCTGCTTTTTCAAGCTCCTTTCCTCATTTCTCCCATCCTGACATCCAGCCTCAAGCTGAGTCTTCACCTTCCAGCACCGCTCCCAGCTCTGCCCTCCGGGGCCAAGCAGAACCGTATGTCTTCTTCTCTAGAAACCTTTCCTCTCTTCGAATGCTTGAAGGGAACTATCCTGCAGGTCCGACTCCTCTCTTCTCGAGGCTAAACCTCAGTTTTTCCTACAACGGACCTTCCTCAAGGCCTTCCACAGTTCTGGTCGCCCTCCTCCGGGGGCTCACCAGCTTATCGATGTTCTTCCTTCACTGCGGCACCAAGGGGTGAGTCTGGGCTCTACTCGTGCTATGTGTGGGGTGCAGGGCAGCAGGCTGCTCATCTCCTTTTTCCTGGAAGCTCTGCCCATCTTCATGCAGCCCAAGATGGTGCGGGGAGGGAAGGGAAGAGGCAGGATTCCAATCCATCTCTTCTGACTGCAAACCCAGCCCCCCTGCTTCATGTCTCCCAGTGCACCTCATTCCCGGTCCATCTGATATCCTTGGTTCTTCATCCAGTACTGACCCACGTCCTCTGTGGGGCACAGATGGCCTTGACAGGCTGTGCATTCATTCCACTCCCCGGGCACAAGTTATCCCCAAGTTATCCCCGACACTTTTTTTTTCCTTACCCTTGGAGTCACCAAAATCCCAGGACCCCAAGACTATGGGATCTTAAATACAGTTAGAAAGGATCTGCAGAAAACCACTTAATCCAGCTCGCTCATTATGGAGGGGGAATCATGATTCTTCTGAGATTACGATGTGCTTACAGGATACGTACATGCTGTTATAAAACAGATGTATCCAATATTAAAAATGTTTATATATTTTCTTGCACATTGATAAAACGTAAATGCGATACAAATGCGATTAGAGATGTGTATATATTAAATACACTATATCATATGTGTGTATGTCTGTATGTGTATCTAGCACACTGCTACGGGGCTCAGTGCAGAGCTCGGCCCGGAGTCAGGAAGCTTCGTATTCCCTGGTTCACATGGAGCCTGAGACCTTAACCAGCTGTGAGACGCTGGGCAGGTCACTTCACCCCGTCGGCCTCAGTTTCCTCATCTGTAAAATGAGTTGGAGAAGGAAACGGCAAGTCTTTCCAGCGGCTCCGCCAAGAAAAAGTCGGACGAGCCTGAAACAAGGAACGCGTTTAGGAGCCCGCAGGGACGACTGGGGCCCCGGTGCCCAGCCACGTGCCCGGGACAGCCCTAAGAACAGCCTGCAGCCAGCCGCCCCGCCCCACTTCTCCCAGGCCTCCCAGCGCGCGTACGTGACACCAGGAGGGGGAGGAAAGGGGAGAGAGGAGGAGGAGAGCCGTCGGGCACGCCTCCTCGCGCATGCTCGTGTTCGTCCTTGCCTCCGCGGTGCATGGGCGACCCCTGGCGGCCGGACGCCGCCCCGCCGCCGCGTTTCTCCAGAGCCTCGTGACACGGCGGCAAGGGGCGGGTCTCGGCGGCTCACGCCGGCGTTGCGCGCGGGCGCGGCGCCGGTTGTCGACGTCACTGGCCCGCGCCGGACCTGGAGGAGGAGGAAACGGGTAGAGGGTCGGCGGGCGCATGGCGGCAGTGGGCTCCGCGGCCTCGGGCCCCGGCTCGGGCCTGCAGCTGCCCACCTTCGCGACCGCCCGAGCGCTCGTGAAGCCCGGCTCGTGCCTGCGCGTGGGTCCGCACCGTCGTCACGTGGCGCTGGCCCCGCGCTTCCTGGGCCGCAAGCGGAGCGGCCTCCGCGAGCAGCTGGACGGGGAGCTGCTGCGCTACTCGGAGAGGTGGGGCCGCCGATGCCGGCGGGGCGGGGAGGCGTCCGGGCTGGCCTCCCTGAGTGCCCCGGGAGGGCCCAGTCTGGGCGAGGGTCTGGACGGGGGGGAGAGGAAGGGAAAGGGAGACGGGGGCCCTGCGGGGGGGGGCGGTGAGGCCCCCACGGGCCTGGCGGCTGACTCTCTCCCTCCCCCCAGCCTGCGCGGCGTGCCAGTGGCCTACGACAACCTCAAGATCGTGGGCGAGCTGGGCGACATCTACGACGACCAGGGCCACGTGCACCTCGACATCGAGGCCGACTTCGTCCTGTTCTGCCCCGAGAAGGGCCAGAAGCTCGTGGTAAGTGCGAGGCCGGGGGACCCCGTGTGGCCTGGCGTGTCTGCCGCCCACCGCAGCGCCCGCTCGGGCCTGGGGGCAGGTTTCCGCTCGGGGGGGGGGGGGCGGGGGCTTTGAGCGCTGTTGCCGGGGAGAGTGGTCACGGGGGGGGAGGGGGCAGCGGTTTTCCTAGGCTCGGTGACTTAGGGCAGGAAGGCACTGAGCATCCTCAGCACCCCCGCCCCTCCCCACTTTACAGATGGGGAAACTGAGGGTCGCACCATGACAGCGGGGGTCCGGCACGTGTGCTCGGAGGGTGGGCGGGGCAGAAAGGTGCCTGTGAGGAGGTTGCTTTCCCTTCTGCCCCCATTTCCAGACTGGGACCCAGCTCCTCCGTAGGAACCCTTAGCTCTGAGTCACGGAGGGGTCGCTCACCTTGACCTAATCACTGCTATTCTCAGTGCTGAGAACCCCTGCTGGCGCTCTGCTCTCCGGGTGTCTCATAGTCCTGGGGCAGGGGGCCGGTCAGTGGGTAGAGGGCTGGTCAGTGGACAGGCAGGCTGCTTGGCTGTCCCAGAACTGAGCTCCTCTTCTTAGACTTGCGCCCACTTTATCAACAAACATTTGGTAAACGCCTGCTATGTGTCAGCTGTTGCACAGAGTGCTGACTAAAAGACCCCAAAGAAGCTGGCCCCAGGTGAACGGAGACACCCCATTCCCGAGGGCGGGCTGGCTGGCTGGTGAGGCTGAAGAACAGTGGGAAGATCAGGAAAGATCACGGCAGAGGTCACACTGGAGGAGGTGGAATGATGTGAGGGAGGCCCAGGCACAAGGCTGGTTTGGACCAGAGCTCAAGGAGCCTCTGAAGGGGGGCTGGAGCCAGATGGTAAGGCCCTAAACCCCAGAGGTAACAGGGAGAATGGGGCCATTTGAGACACGGCTGCCACAGAGCTGACCTAGAAACCCTGTCCCAACATTGCCTGTGTCCAGTTGTTTTTTTTATTCCTTTGGTTTGATGTATTTCAGGGCATGCTCACCTGGTTCAGGCTGTACATATTTGGCACCTGGGTTAGCGAGTCATTGGGGAGTGGGCCATTCGCCCGTTGGGGGACACGCAGCCTCATATTCCTGGGGCCCCTTCCCCCAGAGTCTTCCTTACTCCCATTTCGAGGTGATGGCCAGGCCTGGCTCCTCTCCTCAACCACATCTCTGGCATCTCTTGGCTTCTTTCTGTTCTGGCTGACATCCAGAGGCGGGTGTTGGCAGGGCCAGGGTTTAGGGGCTAGTCTCCCCACTGGGGTTTGTTTCTTCTCTCTGGTCAGTGTTTATGCCTGTTTGGAGTATGGAGGCCCAGTTTTGTCAGTCTCCTGGCCTCACGTCTGTGGTGATTCCCCATCCCTTATTGCTGGCCAAGAACGTTCCACCCTTAATAGTGACAAGAATAATTGGTGCACATACAGAGCCAGAGCCTCCTGCCGGGAGGGGCTCCCAACTGTTCTGCCCATCTTACAAGCCCCTTTGCCTCCAAGGCCTCACAGTTGGATGTCACCCATCTCACACCTACCCATCACCAGCTGACCTGACGCTGCTCTGCCCCCCCATGCCCTGTGTTTGTTCTTCTGTAGTGTCACCCATACCTAAGAATCTCTAACTCTTCTGCCTCCACTTTTCTCCACTACCCCCAACTCCTCTGGGAGGAGGGGCTTTTTAGGAAGGGTCTTTGTGATGCTTTACAATGAAAGAACATGCTTCAATATTATTTTAAAGCTGGAGAATGGGTTTAGCTTTGTAGACAGCTGGCTAAAATGAACATATTCAAGATGTAAATGCAGGATGTTTTACATATAATGGACATGAAGTCTTCAAACAGTCACTATTCTTTGTGTCCTGCCAAACTGATTCATTAAAAGAAGGCTTTGTAAACTTTCAAATTAGTTTTGTTTATGGAAATTCAGCACTGATCTTTGTTATGGAAAACATATGTTTCCTGCCCTGCATAAGCTTCTGTCTGGAGCTGGCCACATCCCTGAATTTTTTCTGGCTGGTTTCATTGGGGGAGGCAGTAGTCTGGTCTCTAAGGGAATGACCTTCCTTTCTTGAGCATCTAGGAATAGTTGTAGAGGTCGGTTTTTGTTGCTGGGAGGAAATCTCCCACTTAAATAAAATTTTTATTTATCAAGACCACCCTGCACTGGCTGACTGGGGGTAAGCTTTAGTCCAGGTATGTTTTCTCCCTCTTCAGGTGGATGTGCAGCTTCCTGTGCAGCTCAGCATGGTTCACCTTGTGCACCAAGGCCTCTCTCACAGCCTCATGCTCTTCTCCCCGCAGGGTGTAGTCAATAAGGTGGCCCCCAGCCACCTGGGCTGCTTGGTGCATGGGTGTTTCAATGCCTCCATCCCCAAGCCGGAGCACATGCCCATGGAGCAGTGGCAGAGCCTGCATTTCCATTTGGGAGATGAGCTGGAGTTTGAAGTGTCCCGCCTGGACTCCGATGCTGCAGGCGTCTTCTGCATTCGAGGAAAGCTCCTTGTTAGCAGGTGGGTTCCTCTGCATGCGGTATGCCAGTCACATGTGCAGTTTGGGATATGTAGAGTGGATTGTTGCAGAGGGGATCCTGGAGGGCAAGGGAGGCTGGAGGCTCATGCCATGAAGGGCCAAGGTTGTCACATGGGATCAATTTTCATTTTTCCTTTTCTTAGCTGCTTTTTCTTTTTGACTTGAAAAAAAATATGTTTTTTAAACTCTTTGTTGGCGTAATGTAATTTAATTTTTAATAATCCTAAGGTTATGACCAGAGAGGCTTTAGACCTGTCTCTAAAGCAGTTAAGGAAACTATAGCCCATCCAGGTGGGAAAGAGCCAGGATTTGACCCCCTGACCTCTTGACTCCAGATCTAACACTTGTCTGTACATGGACACGAGATTGCTGTTCCCAAGATTTTCTTATTCTAGTGGTTAGAAAATGTATTTTAGCTTTGAACTTATATAGGGGAAAATTCTTGAAAGAGTTTGTGAAGTTTACACTGTGGGGCCTGTTCCCATTATAATGGCCTGGTCAGCTCAGTGTGAGCAGTGTTGCTGGGGCTTATGGAGTCTTTCCTGGGGTGGCATATAAGAGAACCCTCAGGTTACTGCTCTACGTGGCCTTCAGAGATGGGATTGTCCAAAGCCATCATTTAGAGTGAGGAAACCAAGGCCTTTTTTCATTTTGTCTTGGATCTACCCAGGATGCTCATTACTGGCGCAGGACCCTTCACGTAGTACATGGTTCATAAATGTTCCTTGTTGTGGAGACCCCCAAGATTAAGAGACAGATCTAAAGCCTCTCTGGTCATGATTGTCAGAGTGAGTTTGAATTTTCCTCTGACTGAAAGCCAAGACCTCCCTGCCACACGCCTACCCATCCTGATTTTTGTCGTCTCTAAGAGAGACTCCTTTCTTGGGGAAAGTGATGGCTGTGAATTGGAAGGGAGGGAAAGAAGGGGAGTTGGGCCTACTGGACATGTGGATGGTTGGGTCAGGACCAGTCCTGTGTCCTTCCCTTTGTCTATGCCACCTGGGTAGGCTACCTCCCCAGTGATAATAATAACTTTCAACCATTGTGTTATCCAGGGCACTTCAAGGTGGCTGGTGACTGGGGGGATGGAAGGCATTGGAGGGCTGTCAGCTGATTGGTGGTGGGTGTGTCTGCCGCATTAAAGTAGCTGGAGTAGAGGTGAACTAGAAGAGCCCAGTATTGGCTCTGGGTGAGGCCCTGGGTAGGTGCCGCACTCTGTGCCTCAGCTCTTATCTGGGCCCAACACTCCCCCCCCAAGTGCATCTCTCCCCAGGGCATCCCTGCATTCTTATTAACTTCTGTCCTGTTCTCCACAGCTTGCCGCCTGCACTTCCCAAAGGGTCTGGGGACATTGGTAATGAGGCCGAGCCTGGAGCAGGGGGAGAGAAGCCAAAGAAGAAGAGCAGAAAGAGCCTGAAGCAGCCCCATGAGGACTGTGGTCCCACACCGGCTGCTGTGCCTTCAGATGTGGCTGGGGCAGCGGAGACCAGCCCCCAGGCCCTCGAGACTGAGAATGGACTGCCTGAGGAGCAGGAGCCCCAGAGGAAGAAGCAGCACCACCGAGAAAAGCTGGAGCAAGACCCTCTGTGGCACGCCAGTGACTCGAGCGGTTACCAGAGTGACCACCAGAAGAAGAAAAGAAAGAGAAAAAGGCACAGTGACGAGCCTGAGGGTCCTGAGGCCCCTGAAGAGCCAAGACCAAAAAAGAAAAAGAAAAAGGAAAAGGAGTGAGTCTTCTCCAGGCAGAGGGGAGGCCAGAGGGGCCTGTCCAGTCCAGTGGGCCAAAAGAACGGCCTGAGCTCGCTCCCACCAGTCTGGAGAGAGAAAGAAATGGTTGCACGTGAACATTTTAATATTCCAGAGAGAAAAAATGACTCCCAGAATCCAGGGTCAAGTTCCAGTCTCTTTGGCCAAACACGTGGGTGCTGAGTGTCACGTCTGGGCTGTTCCTGAGCCCGGGGGTCTCTGCGGCAAGGAGGATCGAAACCCACTTTGGGAGTTGTCAGTGTCCAAGGGAGAGCCACAGTTAGGGGAGGCTGACTTTCCTCCTTCCCATTGATCAGCATGGCAGGGAACAGAAAGTATGGCCCTGTCTTCTTGAGGGCTTACGTGGTGGTAGGCCGGCCAAAGAGCAGGCATCCCTCCTTGTAATCTTGAGGGAATTTAACTTTACTGCCATGATTGCCCTCATTTGGGGGCAAATAATAATAATGACAATGGCTCCCCTTTTTATAGTGCTTGTCACGATGTGCCAGGCACGGTGCAAAGTATTCTTACAACTATCGTTTGACCTGGTGCCAAGTGTGTTAGTTATCTCCTGTGACCCTCACAACAACCCTGAGAGGGAAGGAGAAAACTGAGGCTCAAAGAAGCCAAGGTTCTTTTTCAGGGTCACCCAGCTAGTCAGTGTCTGAGGCTGGATTTGAACTCGGGGCTTGACTCCAGGCCCAGCACTCTAACCACTGTGCCTCCTAACTGCCCTAGCTATAGTCTTCAAGGTAGGCCTTGCATTAAGAAAACTTGATAGGCAGAAAGAGTAGGGTAAAACTAGATTTCCTAAAGTATTCTTCACTTTATGGAAAGATTGATCATAGGATTGTTTTTCATCTTGTCTTATTTTCAAACAGGTTTTCATTTAAAGAAGTTTAATTTGTGTGCAGCTTTTCTGGAGTGGGGTGGAATTTCTTGTGAAAGTTAAGGTATGTGTATATTCTAATTTTTAAAAAGTGCTTTGTTTGGGGGTACATATAAATATGCGTGTATAGCTTTATAAATCTCAATATTACCAAAGTGCCTTTGAAATTGTATGTATAATAAAAAGATATTCTTTGATTTATTTAATTTAGCTTTTTTTTAACACTAAAATTTAATTGTGAGTTTAAATATGTTTTAAACTCTGTTACTACACAGACAGTATCACTAAATAAAGGTTAGGGTGCAATTTGGTATAAGTTTGATAGTGGAATTTTATTTAGCTTTTATATTACATGATTTTAAAAAAAAAGATTATCACTCTTGAGTGTTCATGTGAGAAATGAATTCATTATCTTTGTCCTCAGCTCCACGTTCACAAAGGCTGATCAGTCATTGGTGACTGACAGCTCATCTTCATCTGCCCCTTTGTGCCTAGGTCCTTTTGGTTTGGGTTTTGAGAGGAAAGAAGGATTTCAGAATGACCAGTAAGGAGCCCGCATAGCCATAGGTGTCGTCAAGACCTTGGCCGCTCTGCCGTGCTCATTGTGACCAGGCCCAGCATTTTCACTGGGGTATCCAGACATCCAGCTGCAGATAACATTGGCCGTTTCTTTTTATGGAGATGACACCACAGCTGGGATGATGAGAGTCTCTCAAGTGAAATCCTTTTAAATTATAAAATGGATTTCTGTATTTCCTCGCTAGGTTGTGGATGCCCTCGATTTGAGGACTTGGCTTGGACTAGCACTTTGCACTTTCAGTAGCTTTGTGGCCTTAAATTTCTGGTTTCCCTGCTGAGCTCCTTGACTCATTTGTAAGTGAAGGTATGGAATAGATGACCTCTAAGGCCCCTTTCAGCTCTAAAGCTATGGCCCTAAAGTATTTACAGGTCATCTGGGCAGTAATTTTTCCAGTATATATACTAAGCTGGTTTGGGCTAGTCCCAAGAATAGTTGGACAAGCAGCAGGTTCATAATAAACATTTTTTATTTGGCACCAAAGCAGTATAACTGGAAATGTAGACCCCAAAGAGGTCAGCACATGGGAGCAGTCAGCTGATTGAAATCCTAGGTCAGAAAGATGGGTGGCCGGGGGCAGCATTCATTGTCAAAACCCATGCTGGTTTTAAGTATGGGTGAAGATTAATGGGTGTGTCATTAAGATTAATTTGCGGACCACTCTATGACAAACTAAGCTCTAGGGAAATGAAAATCTTGAAAGGAGGGAAAAGTCAATCATGTCTCACTAAATCTGCTGTAGCTGTTAGTTGTAAACGTAGTTCCTACTGCCTTTTGACTTTAGTGAGGAATATGTCAAATTAACAGTATTTTTTCTTGATTTTTACTAAACCTGATGGTTGTGGTTGAACTCATTATAGCCTAATCATGAAACAAGCCGAATAGTTACTGGATATGATTCTCTTCAGGCATTTTTGACCTTGGGCAAATATAGCTATGTAACTGTAGTAAGAGGGTTTCTGTATTTATAAAGTGGTGATTGTGACAAATTAATTGTGAGTAATAGTAGTATTCATGGAAAACTACTTTGGAATAGCAAATGAAAGAAGCACATTACTATAGATCATGTTTTTCTTATTTCTAGAATATTTCAGCTGGGGCTTCTGCCAACTTCACTGGTTTAGAATAAACAAATTACAACTGTGACCAAAATGAACAATATACTCTATAGAACTTATGACAGGAGGTTTGTTTGTGCTCCACAATCACCCTGAAGTAAGACACATGTGGAAATAGCGGGTTCTGGCCTCCCTGCAAGTCTGGGCGATATTGCCTTTAGCCCCAGATCAGGGTCTTTTTTGTATGTTGTGTCCGCATCAGGAAGACTGTTGGCGGGACAGGCAATAGCGGGAAGGACCCACACACTCAAGAATGACCAAGGAGACCCGACTGACCAGTAGTGAACTCATGTGTCTCTACACAAATAGATGAACTATGAGTAATGAGAGCAGCTAGAAATGGAAACATCCAGATTTTCATTGTGATGGCATTGACGGGGGTTCCAGGGATGCAGGTACTAGTCAGTCCATGCTTGCTCATCTTGGACGATTCCATCCATATTTGTTCACGGTTAGGCCTGTCTTGTTCTGGGGTACGTCTCCAAATAGGCGAGTTCAGAGGACCTTGCTGTTCTTAGGGAATTAACGTTGGACAGTGTGCCGCAACTGCTCTTTGAGTGTGACAAGCCCTTTTGGCAAGTATTCGTCTCTATTTTTAATGCCTCACCTGATGGCTATAAGCTAAGGTTCTCTCTCTGTCTCTTTCAAGGAATCTTGAATATGTTAGACATATTGAAAATAAAAAAACCTCTCAAGAAAAATAAAGTTTAAAAAAGCATGCTTCAGTCTTCATTCAGACACCATCAGTTCTTTCTCTGGGGATGGATAGCATTTTTCATCATAATTCCTTCAGAGTTGTCTTGAATCGTTGTATTGCTGGCAATAGCTAAGTCATTCACAGCTGATCATCTTACAGTATTGGTGTTACTTTGTACGCAGTACATTTCGCTTTGCATCAGCTCGCGTAAGTCTTTCCAGGTTTTTCTGACAGCATCCTGCTCATCATTTCTTATAGCACAATAGTATTCCATCATAATCACATACCACAATTTGTTCAGCCGTTTGCCACCAGAAAAGAACTGCTATAAATATTTTTTATATATATAGGGTCCTTTTTGTTTTTTTATCTCTTTTGGGATACAGACCTAGTAGTGGTATTACTAGGTCACAGGTTTGCATGGTTTTATAGCCTTTTGGTCATAATTCCAAATTGCTTTACAGAATGGTTGAATCAGTTCACAACTCCAACAATGCATTAATGTCTCATTTTTTTCCCATATCCTCTCCAGTCTTTGTCATTTTCCTTGTCTGTCTTAGGAGCCAGTGTAACAGCTATGAGGTAGTACCTCAAAATTGTTTTAATTTACATTTTTCCAACAGTAGTGAGTCAGCATTTTTTTTTATTTTGGCTAGGCAGTGGGGTTAAGTGACTTGCCCAGGGCCACACAGCTAGTAAGTGTTATGTGTCTGAGGCCAGATTTGAACTCAGGTCCTCCTGAATCCAGGGCTGGTGCTTTATCTGCTGTGCCACCTAGTTGCCCTCAGAGCATTTGTTTATATGCCTATAGATAGCTTTGGTTACTTCATCTGAAAACTTCATATCTTTTGATCACTTATCAATTGGGGAATGTCTCTTACTTTTACAAATTTGACTCAGTACTCTATATTTGAGAAAGATCTTTATCAGAGAAACTGCTTCAAAATTTTTTGCAGTTACTATTGCTATTTCCGTCCATCCTATTCCCTGCCACTTTTTCATATATATATATATATATATATATATATATAATTTTATTAATTTATTTTGATTTATCAGCAATCACTTCCATATGCTTTTGAATTTAAAATTTTTCTTGCCCTTCCTACCCACCACCCTCCCCAAGACAGTGCACAGTCTGATATAGGCTATACGTTTACATTCCTATTAAACATATTTTCACATTAGTGAAGTTGTAAGTAAAAATTAAAACCAATAGGAGGAACAGAAACAAAATTTAACAGAACAGAAAAAGATAGCTGTTCAACTTTCACAGTTAATGATTACTATCTTGTCTTTTTCTTCATTCTTTTTTCCCCCTGTTTATGCTCTTTCTCCTCTCTCCCTTCTCCCCCTCACCAGTACTTTGCTTTTGACCACTGCCTCCCTCAGTCTCTCCTCCCTTCTGTTATTCCCCTTCCCGCCACTGCTTCTTCCCTCCCTTCCATTCCCACTCCCTTTTCTTTAGCCTTTTCCCTCCTACTGCCTGTAGGGCAAGTTAGATTTCTCTACCTAACTGATTATGTTATTCCCTTCTGGAGCCAAATCTGATGAGAGCAAGGTTCAAACAGTGCTCAACCCCTCCCTTTTTTCCCTCTGCTGTAATAGGATTTTCTGTCTTTTCCTGTAATCTACACTTTTCTGCCTCCTCCTTTCTCAGTACATTTTCTAAGATCAGACCAATCCACCCACTTGGATCCATCCAACCCACTTGATTAGATTTTTTCTTTAATCATTACATCAAAGTCAACCAATATCCACCCGCTTTATGTATGCTTCTTTAACATGGTGTAGTAACAGTACAGTTCTCAAGAGTTGCAAGGTCATCTTCCTTTGTACGGATGTAAACAGTCAACCCTTATTAACAACATTTTGTATCTTTCTGTCCCATTTACCTTCTTATGTCTTTCTTGAATCTTGTATTTGAAGATCAAATTTTTTGTTGAGCTCTGTCTTTTTATCAGGAAGGCTTGGAAGTCCCATATTTCGTTGAATATCTGTCTCTTCCCTTGAAAAATCATGCTTAGTTTTGCAGGATAGTTGATCCTTGCCTGCATTCCAAGCTCCTTTGCCTTATGGAATAACATGTTCCACACCCTGTGGTCTTTTAATGTAGCAGCTGCAAGGTCCTGTGTAATCCTGACTGTGGTTCCATGATATTTAAATTGTTTCTTTCTGGCTGCTTGCAGCACCTTCTCTTTCATCTGATAATTTTGGAATTTTGCTATTATATTCTTTGGCATCACTTTGGGATCTCTTTCAGGTGGTGAATGGTGTATTCTTTCTGTGGTTATTTTACCTTCTGGTTCTAGGACTTCTGGGCAGTTTTCCTTTATGATTTCCTGAAAGATACTGTCCAGGCTTTTTTTTT